AGTGGTCTGGCGGCTATATGCCATCCATTTTGTTCTTCTAAACCCAAATAAGTGGTTTTCTTTCAAGAATTCTTTGCTTTGCCACTTTCACGTTTAAAGACAAAACTTTGTTTTTTTTTTAGTTCTCTGTTAAAATACATGGCTATTAATTTTTTAAATAAATCAAATTTTAAAATAAAGATACATTTTTATTAACATTGCATGTTCTACTAGATCTTGTGCAAGATTGGTTATAGTTGTAGTTTAAAGTATTAATTAATGGGGAAATAAATGATGGCTATGAAGATTAAATAGAGTTGTTTTTTTAACGTAAGAACCATTGCTCTGCAGCATCTGAGCTTTTCACAACTTCCTCTCTGCCAGTATCGCTTACTGGTATTTTCTGAAAAACTGGTAAGTGATGACTGCTGGTAAACATTTTGAACTAGTTCTGTCTGGACTCAATAAAACCTTCACTCTCCCTATTAAAGATAGGCTTTATAGTCAATAAAGTTTTGAGACTTGTCAGTCATTTCCATATCTAAACGATTTCCTCCCTCCCCCCCCCCCGGGGGGTTTCTGGACAGAACTGCCCCTCCTCAAGACACCTTCATGAGTCAGGGAAAATAATGGGGTTATGTCTCCAGAATTTTTAGCTGCCTGTAAGCAAGCAGGGCAAAATTAGTCAGTCAGTGGTCCTCATTTTTTTCTGCTTGCACAGTTATTCCTAATGAATATTTTTATTGGTGTTTATTTTTAATGTCTTCTTGTCTTACTGACAAGAAAGAGCTGTTTTCTGAGTCTCATTGTGTTTTTATGAATCTCAACAAACAGTTCAGTTCCCTAAACATCTGAAACCCTGTTTTTAGTCAAATTGTAACTCTGGACTTTGGCTGTGCTGTGCTGCTAAAGAAGGATCTACTTTTCCTTAACAATTGAAAAAGAAGGGAAAAAAGCTCCCACTTGGGAAATCACATCTCTCTAGATACTAGAGAGATGTGATCCAACATGGCTTTGAACTTGTAACAAAAATTTCTGTTTCTGAGCTAGACAAAGCTATTGTATGTATTAAAAAAAATAAATCTGTTCTCTCCCATCAAAAAGCTAAAATGCAGGTCTTACACCGATCAATTTTTAAATGGTCTTCAAGGACTGGAAGAAAGGTTCATATTCGGCATTGTCTTCTGAGACGTGGAAGATCATTTTCATTAAGTTTGTGCTCTTTGTTCAGCTAGAAATTTCATTTTTTTTGTTCAATCTACCATGTCATTGAGGAAATTGATCTCGAAATAATAACTTCTACCAAAGATTAATAAATTCTTTTGCATTTTTCATAGCCTACAACTGCTGTTGCAGCAATTTTTATACTCTGGTTTCACTCTGATTGTTTATCTTCTGCTTGCAAAAGGTAACACGCAAAAACAACACGCAGATCTAGATGGTGGCAAGTGTCCAGCTGAGTCCATAACCATGGAAGAAACACGTTGCCTAACTTTTTTTTTTGCTTTGAAATTTTTGGACGAAGAAAAGACCCGCTTCATCCATTTGGCTGTCAAAAATAAATACTAACACAGCCTTCCTGAGTTTTATTTCACTCGTCTCCGATTTCGGACACTCAGCTTTTCCCACACGTCGCTTTCGAGAAACTCAAGCGCCCGCGGTCGGGACTGGAAATTTGGACCGCAGCTACAGCGCCGGTTAAGGGCTCTGCCCGAGTTGCTCGGACGGGGAACGCAGGCTGGAGGGGCGGGCAGGAGATGCTGCTGCCCGGCGGTTTACCGCAGGCAGGCGTGGACGC